CATTTATACATTTGATATGAATCTTTTATATTTATTCTTATCATTTCCTAGATGTAACTAATGCACGAAAAATCTCACTCAAAACTTATATATATGTTTAACTCTCGGTACTCACGAAGCTCCTCCCACTTTTTTCCGGCTGATTGGAATAGAAAAGCGTAATCCACAATTCTAAGAGGGGGTTATTTTTTTCTGAATTTAAGGTGTTATTCATTTCAGACTAGAACTTGGATTTAAATTTAATGCGTTATTAGCTTAGGACTAGAATTCAGATTTGAATTCAGGGTGTTATTCTTTTAGGATGAGGATTTGGGTTTGGATTTAACACGTTATTGGTTTAGAACTAGATTTTGAATTTAAATTTAAAGTGTTATTGGTTCTTGTAGGCTGTCTAAAAATCACAATGGATAGCTAATCCCTATCAAGCCCTGATAATGGAAGTTACAATCAGACGACTTTCTAATCACTGCATCCGCAACTCTGCAACCGCTATAAACACGGCCTCAATCACATCAAACCAGACATTCGGTTTTCAACAACTCTTATCAGAGTTCTTAACTCGTTCAGAGTTCTTCAACACTCGTCAAGAGTTCTAAACCGAAGTCATCAAACACTTCAGTTATTCCAGTGAAGAAGGACGGTCGGATCGTCAACGGAGAGCAAGTTCGACGCGATCAATCGAAGGAAGCACTCCATCGCTACCAAGAAGAACCCAGTCTTAAACAAAGGAGAGAATCAAATCCATTCTCTTCTCTTTTGTAATCGGAATCCAAATTGTAATCGATTTTGAGAGAATACAAGTCAAATTTTCTTTCTTTGTCTTTTTACATCAAATTTCCTACCAACAAAAGATGGCGACTCTGCTGGGGACTAGCTTCTCTGACGAGGAAGTGGTGGCGCAATCCGACGTTCACCTCACAGGAACCACCGTCGAAACTCTCGTCGTAGAGTTCGACCAAGCCAAGTATGAGGAGGTCCTCTCCTCTGGGTCCCTTAGCCCAAAAGCTAGGCGTGATACCCACAGGACCTCTACGGAGGTCAACACTACTGCTGAGATGCCAAAGAAAGCCCTCTCCTTTGGCCAAGACCTTAAACTCGCTCTGCGAGTTGAAGACTCCTCCCCCGTATCACTACGGCACATAATAGGTCAAAAGAGACCTATGTCGGAGGAAAATCCAACCAACGCCGACGATGCCGCGGCCAAGGCCTTGAAACAGGCTAAGAAAAATGCTGCTCGACGAAGGAGAAGATCCTTACGGCGAGCATACTTGCGGAACAGCCAAGCTACTGCCCAACGCAAAGACTGCGTTTCTGAGCCTGTGCCCGAACTGTGCGTTTCTGCTCCAGAACGCACACTTCGTGGCAATGAACCCGACTATGAGCCTCGGGTTATTCAACTCAAACGCGACCCTCAGTGGCGCGTTGTTCAACATAGACGCACACCTCAAAAGTGCGTCCCAAAACGTGACCTCCAAAGGCACGTTCAATCATTCAAACGCACGCCACAACCGTGCGTTCAGTCAAAACAAGACCCTCAAGGGTCTGTTCAAATAACTAAACGCACACCACAAGTGTGCGTTCAATCAAAACCCGACCCTCAGGGGTCTGGGTCATCAAACAAACGCACGCCACAAGTGTGCGTTCAATCAAAACCCGACTCTCAGGGGTCTGGGTTATCAACCAAACGCACATCACAAGTGTGCGTTCCAGCAAAGAACGACCCTCAGGGGTCTGTTTCAACAACCAAACGCACATCACAAGAGTGCGTTCAAACAAAGAACGACCCTCATGGGTCTGTTTCAAAACGCACGCCTCAAGTGTGCGTTCAAACAAAGAACGACCCTCAGGGGTCTGTTTCAACATCAAAACGCACACCACAAGTGTGCGTTCAATCAGGACAAGATCCACAAGGATCTAGTCCATCAATCAAACACAGGCCTCGGCCTCGTGTTTATAAACCTAAACGCGACTCTCGTGTTTCTTATCAAGAGCATGACACGGTCCGTCAGGTTCAAAAGGGACAGCATGGATTTAAGATTCATGCCCAACCCATCCAAGGGCAGGGGGTTCCATCCCCACCTTCACAAAATCTTTCCCAGGTCTCCGACTTGCGTGAATTGCTGTCAAGAGGAAGGCCAACACAGCAAGTAGCTCATTCATGCCAGTGTGAGCGGCTCATATCTGCTGTCCTCTCTGAATGCAGTTGTTGCTCACCGGCGCCTAGGCAGTCGGTGTTCAATAGATTGACGAATGTCGCTAGAAACGACAACGTCGCCAGAAGAAGACCTCTGAAGTCGACTACCCCGAGGTTACTATCAACATGATCGGTAGAGGAAAAGCCTCACGTTCCGATTCTGACGAGTCACAAAGAAGTAATTCCCCGACTGTTCGGGAAATTTGTGATGAATTTGAAGGAGTATATAAGCATACTCGGACCCGGACAGGAGCTATTCGCCCGGTTGACTATCAAAAGTTGGCCAAAGGAATTACAACAAGTGATGAGCATTCGGCAATAGCCGAATCTCAATCTTCGAGCTCGGTTGGACCACAAGAAGTATCTGCTTATATGGCGGGAAATCCTGAGGACATAGCCAAGAGAGTGAACGAACACCAGGTCATGCTCCAGGCGCAACAGGAGACACTTCTCCAATTGAAGGACATGATGGCCCAACTTATTGCTGAAAAAGGCCACAAACCCGAATCTTCCCGGAGGACAACCTCAAAAGGGAAGCAGAAAGCGACCGAGCATTCGGATCGTGAGACTCTCAACTTGGGATCCTCTTCTGAGGGTGAAAAGGAGGTGGAAAAAGAACTGCATCCTCAATCCACTAAAATGGATGAACTAGAAGCTCGCCTCAATGCAATCGCCAACAGAAGTGAGCTCCGTGAAGAAGGAGTGGTGAGACCTTATCCTGCCGAATGGGATATAGCTCCATACCCGTCAAAGTTTAAAGCTCCAACCTTGCAACCGTTCGATGGCACAGGATCGCCAAATCAGCACATCTACTACTTCAAATCTCAAACTGGAGATGTTGTGGCGAACGATGCCATCTTGACTCGCTTATTCATAGAAAGGAGTGGCCTTTGAATGGTTTATGAAACTGCCTGCTGGATCTATTCAGAAATGGGTGGATTTGGAAAGGCTTTTCTTGGCTAGGTTCTTTGAGGATGATACGGAAGTTTCTGTCCCAACTCTTCTCGCCACCAAGCAGAGGAAGGGAGAATCCATCAAGGCTTACGTGGAGAGATTCCGTAGCATGGCATTGCGATGCCCCTCAGGTATGACTCAGTCAACCCTGGTTGAAACTTGCAGGCACAACTTGCAAACTCAGCTCCTTGCCCAGATGGGGGTAGCGGAGTGTCGTTCCTGGAGACAGTTGGTTTCGCAGGGAGAACAAGCTGAAGAGATTGTAGCTCGGGTGAAAGCCGAAGAAGCTGCACAGCCCAAACCGCAACAGCAACGCAATCAGAACAACGCCCAGCGGTCTAAGGGAAAAGAGACCCTAGCAGCCGACTACTCTCGGGTACCACCGCCCACAAATCAAGGCAAAACTCCCAATAAGCAAAAAGTGCCCAAGCAATATTCCTTCAAAGAGGAGCATGTGGACACTTTATTCCAGCTATTGCGGAAGAACAACAAGCTACAGCTTCCTGAAATTAGGAAGCCAGAAGAGGCAGGGAAGATAGATGACCCTAATTACTGCCGTTATCACAGGTTTCTGGGGCATCCTACCAGAAGATGTTACATCTTTAAGGACATCCTTCAGAATTTAGTGGACGCCAAAGTGCTTACCCTGAAACCCTACCTGATGAAACCCACGAAGTCAACGCAACTTCGCACCAGCAAGTATGGCGTCTATACTTTGACGGCGCGTCACGAGCAACTAATGTAGCAAGTGCTCCTGGAAGTTCTAAGATTTCTTCCGGAGTGGGAGTTGTCTTAGTTTCCCCAGGAAAGCACGTGATGCCTCGAGCTTACTCATTGACTGAACCGTGCTCAAATAACGTAGCCGAATATAATGCATTACTCATAGGACTCAGTTTCGCCAAAGAACTGGGGGTTGAGTACCTCGAAGCCTTCGGTGATTCTCAACTGATAGTTAAACAAGTTCAGGGAGAGTACGAGGTTCGAAGCCAAGATTTAATACCATACCATAAGATGGCAGTGGAGATGGCAGAATCATTCGAAGGATTCTTTATCGAACATATTCCACGGCTACAGAATACCTATGCAGACGCGTTAGCAGCATTGGCCGTATCTCTGGCACAACCTCCTGAAACGGAACAGTTTGTTACGGTAAGAACTCACCAACTCTTAGTGCTGCTTTACGGTGAAGATGAGGAAGAAGAGGTTCAAGAGGTGCACGCTACTCAAGTCGAGTTCGAACCACGAGATTGGCGTTTCCCCATCATCGACTACGTCTTGCATGGGATCTTGCCAGAAGATGTGAAGGAAAGAGAGTCAATCAGACGAAGAGCACCAAGATTCTACTATAATACGGAGAATCGAACGCTATACCGTAGGGGGTACGATGGGTTGCTAGCACGTTGCTTATCAACCAAAGAAGCTGAAGAGGTCCTTAGGGAGGCACACGAAGGAGAGTGTGGCGCACACCAACCTGGTCCTAAGCTTTATGATTGTATCAGAAGAATGGGGTATTTTTGGCCTTCCATGATGAGTGATGCAATCACGTATGCCCGAAAGTGTAAT